TTTGACAAGGTTGGGATAGAAACCTCTGCAGCTGGACTATTCTTGACCTAGATGGAATCATGCTAGTGCAAGAAATGGTGGAGATCGTGCAAAGGTGGACATGTGTGCAGTAGAGAAAGAAAGGCCCTGTCTTGGTGTTCACTCACCTCTGCTGGAAGAAAACATGTAGATATATTTTCATACCTTTGAAAGGGCAATACCAAATGGGTGAAGTTACTGAGTTTTAAATAAGAGCCAGTTACCTTAGCCAGTTACCTTATCAAGCATTTCAAGCATTTTGTAAGTCATTTTCCTCTCACCACTATAATAACATAGGACAGAAACACTATGATTTTTTTAATGATGGAATTTTACACTGGAAAGATGTAAAATTATATTTAAATATCAACCTTCTCCCTGCATCCCACAACAGTTTCCAACATGTTTGCACACTACATTTTACAGGACAACAGCTAATATCTACACTTAATAACACCTAAATCTGATATAGTTGTGTGACATCTCTGAGCACTTTAGAAAAACAAAAGCATTACCATCTTTATCAAAATACTGAGAAATCAGAAGTCATAAGTTCTTTTATATCAGGAACTAGTTTGGGATTTGAGATACCTGATTTGAGATGAACTATTTTCATTCACACTTTATATGTTATTTTTCCAAGCAGTTGACTTTATATACCCTTTCTCAACCCTTTCTTTTTCTACACTGCTAACATCCCAAAATGATGCAGCTCTCTAAGATTGTGGCTTCCTTTGAAAAATCCTGGGGCTAAGAATCTTGCCAAAATATTACTTGTCTGATGAAATCTGGAGCTATAGTGCCTTTTCACAGAACCCTTGGAACAACATTAAGGTCAAGCTCCTAGACTGACTATCTAACGCACCCAGGACCACATTGTGCCCCAGCACCCATACTACCATAGTGTGTTTATGCAATCTGGCTTCCTATGGTGTGTGCAGGCATCGTTCTGCATAGCCAAACCACCTCTGCCAAGTTTGATCAGTCTTCTGTCCAGATACTGTCCAGATGCGTGCCAGACAGTGCAAAAAGGGAAAACGGTTTTATGCTCTGTTGCCTCATCATATTTTAAAAGACAAGACAGGTTATGTCTTCTTGCAGTGCCCTTCAAGCATTTGACCCAACCCAAGGCCTGTCACTGCTGCTTGTCATTTCAGGCCAAGGATAGTTTATAAGTAAGGAAGTTCAATCAACAGCATGATGAGGCGAAGATATGCCCCAATAAGATCCTGTTGATAGATGTATGCAAGGAAATATGGACTAACAGTTGCAAAGAATGATCTAAGATATATCCTTACCAAGCTGTCTTGTCCACAGCTCTCTTCTGTCCACCCCAGAGACGGTAGCATGGTCTGATCAAGTGATCAGTTCTCTAGACTCCCCTGGACTCTGAGGAGCCTAGCCACACAAGGAATCTTTAGGGTTGGTTTAGGGCCCTTGACTTTGGTCCAATGTACCAGAAGAAGTTCCATAACTTAAAAAGTGCCCTTGATCTGTACCCCAATACACTCACTCTTGGAATAATAAAATAGGATTTCATCCAGCCCTGAGGTTGCTTATATGAACTTTTAATCTTCAGTGCTCTGGAGTTTGCCTGTCCTTTTCAGTTGTCTGTTTGTTTAGTCCTCTTTGTAGTCAAAGAGACATTCATCAATTTTGACTTCATTTTATGGTGTGTAAAAATTTTCTCTAGGCAATAACAGATAGACTTCTGCACAAGTATCAGAGGTGGGAATCATCCTAAATCCCATAAGATATATACAGTATAGAAGTCCAAACTTGACCTCTTCATGTCTCTCTCTCTTTATAATAGTCATCAGAGAAAAAAAGGCAGTTCTTGGCCATGATTCATCTCATGTGAAATAGGTCACATGAATCACTTTTTAGAAATGCCTATTTCTCTGTATTGACTCAAAAGGGAGCCAAAAGGGAGTCTATTTGACTCAAAAGGGAGATACATAACTCATGCATAAATGGTTACACTGCAAATGTCCAGAGTTAGATGGGAGGAATCCCAAATGCCTTGTCTGGACTTAACGCCCTATGGATTTTTCCTCATCTGCTCCCATATCAGATGTGCATTTGTCAGCTGCTCAGGTATCTCTCGAGTATCTGCTGTAGAAGAGCTAATTTGTTCCTTCACCCTGGAGTGCCAAGCACCATTCCATCAAGATGGTTGAGGGTAAGGGTACTGGGCTTGACCACAGGACATGTGAATCAGCAAGCAGGATCACAGAATAGTGAAGGCTGGGAGGCAGGCACCTCTGGGAATTGTCTAGTCTGATGCCTGGTCAGAGCAGAGACAGCTAGTGCAGGCTGCTTAGGACTGGATGCAGTCGGATTTTGAGTATATCCAAGGATGGAGACTCCACAACCCATCTGGGTGGTCATCCATTTAGTAAAGAAGTGTGGGATTTTTTTTAATGTTGAAATGGTATTTCTTGTATTTCCATTTATGCCAATTGTCTCTTGTCCCTTAACTGGACACCCCTCAGAGTCTGAGTTCATCTTCCTTAGTTACCCCACTGGGTATTCATTCACAAGGGCCATATACCCCTGACCCTTCTCTTTTCCAGGCTGCACAATCCCAGCTCTCTCGACCTCTCCTCAGATGTCAGATGCACCAGTGTCTTCATCATCTTCATGGCCCTTCACTGACTTACTGCAGAAAGTTCCCATCTGTGCTGTACTGGACCCAGCACCCTGATGTGTCTGTCTACTAGTGCTGAACAGATGGGAATAATCACCTCCCTCGACCTTCTGGTGACTCTCTTCCTAATGCAGTCCAGGGCCTGCTGGCATCATCTTGAGCTATTGCAATAGACAGGGGCAGAGGGCAGCTGCCAGCATGACTGTAATTTGCTTCCCAGGAATGCCAGAAGCATGTCTTGTAGTTAAAGAGCGGCGGCCTTTAGGCAAGCCAAGTACAGGATGCTAAGAATGATGCTTCATGGGGAAACTGTGAGTGGGAGGGCAAGTAGGGACTTCATAAGGAGAACCACTACTCTGGTACTAGCCTTCAGTTGCTAGTGAAAGAAGAGCTATATAGAATCATGGAAACATTTAGGATGGAAAAGATATTGTGGCTGATGGGTGGGTGGTGGGGAAGGGGCAGCTGCTCTCCATACGAAAGAAGATTTGCCCTGATGCTGGCAGATGGAATAAAAAAAAAAAAAAGGAGGGAGATTATGTGTGAAGCCAGGAGAAAGGAGTAACCAGGCACAAGCAGGTGTATTTATGGGTGTAGGGTCTCCAAGGGAATGAAGCCTCTGATATTTATGCAGATGGTATTGCCTATGGTCATTCTTGCTCCAGAGCCGCATTTCTTAAAGCCTTTGTCGTAATTGTTTGCAGGTAGATGGACCATCCTTTTAAGCATTCTTCTAAGTATCCTGCTGGAGCCACTGTGGTTGGCAGGAGCCACCACCACCCCTGCCTGGACTGTGAAGAACACAGATTTTCCATGCTGATCTGAAGGATGCTCTCCGCTCTGTTTTTGAAGTGGTATTGTGCACAGTACAATCAAGCCTTCAGCCTCTCTTAAAGATCTTTCAGACAGATAAAGATGGAGCACTTATTCTTGTGGAGATCCTCAGGGAACAACTGCAGAATGCAAAGGATCAATGGCCATGACATAAAATAATTTCTGCTCTCTGAAACACATTCCTTTGCCCTAGGAGTGGGTCACGGTGCAAATGGGGCCAAGCTGTCCATTATCTAAAGCACGGGATTAGCCAAACAAATATAGCATACAAGTCATTTTTTGGTTGCTTTGAGGCAACACTGTAGTGGGTTGACCCTGGCCGGATGCCAGGTACCCACTAAAGCCACTCTCTCACTCTCCCTCTGCAACTGGACAGAGGAGAGAAAAAAATAACAGCTAAGGATTCATGAGTTGAGATAACAGCTGGGAGAGGTCACTTACTGATCACCATCATGGGCAAAACAGACTAAAAGTGGGGATATTACTTTATTACTAACAGGACAAGAGCTAAAGAGTGAGAAATAAAATAATCTTAAAAACACTCTCCCCCTACCCCTCCTTCCTTCCATGCTCTACCTCCTCCCCCCCAGCAGTGCAGGGGGACAGGGAATGGAGGTTACGGTCAGTTGTTTTTTCTGCCGCTGCTCAGAGAGAGGAGTCCTTCCCCTGCTCCTGTGGGGTCCCTCCCATGGGAGACAGTCCTTGATGGACCTCTCCAGCATGAGTCCTTCCCACAGGCAACAGTTCTTCCCAAACTGGATCACTTCTCCATGGGGTGCAGTCCTTCATGAATGAGCTGTACCGGCGTGGGTCCCCCACAGGGGCCACAAGTCCTACCCAGGAAAAACCCGCTTCAGCATGGGCTTCCCTCTCCATGGGCTGCAGGTCTCCAGCAGGACCCTGCTCCATCTTAGGCCTCCCACTGGGTCACAGCCTCCTTCAGACATCCACCTGCTCCAGCATGGGCTCCTCCATGGGCTACAGGTGGGTCTCTGCACCCCGATGGTCCTCCATGGGCTGCAGGGGCACAGCTGCTCCACCATGGTCTGCACCAAGGGCTGCAGGGGCCTCAGCTCCAACACCTGGAGCAACTTCTTCCCCTCCTTCTGCACTGACCTTGGTGTCTACCTTGTTCCCATGTTCTCACTCCGCTCTTCCCTGGCTGGAATTCTTTCTGCGCAATACCTCTCTGTTCTTAAATATGTTAGCACAGAGGCATTACCATTATTCCTGATTGACTTGGCCTTGGCCAGCGGCAGGAAGTCCGTCCTTTAGCCAGCTGGCATTGGCTCCGCTAGGCAGGGGAAGCTTCTAGCAGTGTCTAACAGAAGCCAACCTTGTAGCCCCCACCCCCACTAGTAAAACCTACCCACAGAAACGCACAAACCCAAAAACACTCTAGCAAAACTTGTGAGGAAAGCTAGGTTTATTTTACTATGACCTTTGGCATGTTATTTAAGCTCCCCTTGGGCCTTTGTTTCTCATCTCTCCCAAAAAGGTGCTGTGAAAAAGAATTGGTGGGTGGTGAGTGGCACTGGCAGACAAACTGAGGCTGCTGCTCTACAGTGATCAAACATCTTCCCAAACAGGTGGGCTCATTTCTCCTCCCCTGTGGCCTGGTAGGTGTTGGACCAAAGCGCTAGCAGAAAACAGCTCTGTATTTCATCCAGCTTTCATCTGGTTGCAGGAGGACCCAGAGAGCACCAAAGCTGGTACCAAGACAGAGCTGAGTGTCTGGGCAGGGAAGGGCTGGGTGGTGACAATTCTCCACCTGTGGCCAAGGCTCTTGTGGGAGGGGAGCCAGCAAAACACCACCTTCATTCTTCTGCACACAAGTTATTTGCCAGTGTCCTGTTAGCTGTGAGGGGACATTTGTAGAAGGTTTATCCACCTGAATGGGTCACTGAAGATATTGCCAGGGATTTTTTTTTTTCCTGGTTTGCCCAGTCCACTGAAAATGAGTCATTTTTTAGTGGAGATAACAAGAAGCATTCAGTGAAATAAAAAATGCCAGCATTTAGCAGAGTGGCACCCCTGCTCAGTGCATGCTGTAAAATTCCAGCAGGCAAGGAACGCCACTTGGCTCTTGTTCAGGAACTGGCAGGAAACAACCCCCACTAAGCTGTGATTCAACACCAAGAAAAAAAAAATCACTTCCTCTGTAACAGGGAGCATGGATGAACACAGCTAGGTTAATAAAGTAATGCTGCCCTGTCACATCTGGAAACCCAGGTTGGGGGGGAAAAAAATCCAATTAGCTCTAACTGTCCTTACTATAGTGGTCCTAAATCATTCCCTAGAGAGCTCTTGCACAAGATAACTGCATCCCGCAGTGATTGACTACATGCTCTACAACATGTGCCACAGATGGCAGCCACCAGCCATCAGAGGGGGTGCCCATTAGCAGAGAGGTAGAACTCAGCTAGAAGTGCCTCCTCCAGCCTCAGAAAGGTGGTAATGGCATGCAACAGGGCTGCTTACTAGCAGATGCCCATCCCATGCGAAAGAGGTTGCTGGTCTAAATTAAAACGAAAAAAATAAAAATAAAAAAAAAAACAGACGCTATGAAATATAATTTGTGTCCCCACTTTTTTTCTCTCCTTCACTGTAAAGCACCCAAGCAAAGGCAGGGCTTATAACCTTCCCTTATTCCAGGTGCTAAAACTTGCTGTGTGCAAAAAAAAAAAAAAAAAAAAGGCACCGTGAGAGCCTGGCTGGATTCTCTCAATTAGCAGGTGTTGGAAGCCTGCAGGGATGCGCAGGTTAATTAATCCTGACTTACCAGGGTTGGGGAGGTTATTAGCCTCCACCCTAAAAATGAGGAAGACAGGAGGATCCCTCTGCGGGGGATGTAGGTAATGTTTGTGGGGACAGAGGCTGAGGCAAGAGCCAACACTGGGAAAGGGGCTTTAGGTGGGACTAATGAATTAATTTTTTCATCTCTTTTCTCTTGATAAAAGCAATGTTGGGAATAAGTGTATTTTCACACTTTAAAACAAGCCTCTAAGTTCTCAATGGATACTGGGAGCTCTGGTAGCTGCTGCACAGAAACCAGATGAAATCTCTCCATGCTCTACTGTAGAAGAGCTGGATGAGTAGTTTGGTGTTGCTCACTTTTACTGCCTCTGGCCCTAAATGAGGAGTTTTAAGGCCAGTAAGGGAGTGGGGGGATATATTTGACTTGCTGTCAGGGCCTGTGAGACCATATGCTTGACTTGCCAGCATTGCTGTGCTTGCCTGCCTGCATTTCATAGGATATATGTTGTTTTCTAATCAAATCCAAAATGTATTGCTGGCCAAAGCCCTGTTGAGTGTGGAGGAGGAAAAGGGGAATGGAAACACCATAGGAGGGGGATGGGCCAACTGTTTAGCATAGCTACAGCTCCCGGCATCTCTGCAGTTGTTTTTAGTTCAAACAACTGGCTGATGGCACCCACTTGCACCTTCTTGCTCAACAATGCCTCTATCTCCTCTTTCCCCCTCCTCCTCCTTGCCTTTGAGGTGTTGGCTCCCTGACTAACTCAGCCCTGGCTTCCTCAAGCAGCAGGGTGAGGTTTTCCAGGCAGGGCTAAGTAGTGCATCCCACCTTCCTTTCTCCTCCCAGCTCCTGCCCACAGCATCCTCTCACATGAACCCCAGGCAGCTGGGGCAGCTCAGGGTGGGTGGCAGGTGGGAGATGCCCCACCACTGTCGCAGGGCATGTGTGCCAAACCGCAGGTCTGGTGCCCAGACAGGTATCAGTGAGGGAAAGGGAAGAGGGTCACAGCCCTCCTGGGATGTGGAATTGCACTGTCTGGAAAAGAAGTAAGAGATGCCTGCAGAGCTCCTGCAGCAGGCAAACACATAAAGCCCCATGCATGGAGGGAAGGACAAAACAAGAAGCACTCTGGAATAAGAGTGAACAAGACTGGGCAGAAAACACAGAGGTTTGGTATGGAGTGAAGCAAGAAATGGGTAGTAATTGATTACTTCAGGACATACCCTGAAAGAGGTCAGAAGGGTGACAGGCATAAAACCAATGCTTGTGGTGATCACCCTTGTCATCTGCTGGGCCTGGGAAAGCCCTTCTCTCCTCCAGTAGGTTAAACTCAGACCTCTCATCCATAGTGGGTTCTCAAGGCAAACTTGGGTCAAAATAAGCCCTGATGATGGTAACAATTGCCTTTGATAAAATCTTAAAAGAGAAGAATAATACACATTTTTTTTCGGGCAGGTGGGGGGAATGGGGCATGACTGGTATTCCAAGGAGTATTACTAGACTCCAGGCTATCACTAGTCCCAGTTCTCAAGGAATAAATCAAGAGAAAATTCCCGGTGTTTCATTTCACGTGAGAAATGAGAATGAGCTCGTTCCCATTTCAGACAGTTTGCTGGGATGCCTCTTTCCCTCCTTCAGCATCTGTAACCAAGATCTGAAAATCACAGAGCAATGAGGGTGGTGTGCACCGCCCAAGGATAATTCCCAAATTCCTGCCCCCCACACACGCACATTCCACTGAAGGCTGATGCCTGCAGAGGTTCAATCTCGAGCCACCTAGTGGCACTTGCTAGAAATCGGTATTACAGGCAGCATCACGATGCAGAGTCCCCAAAAAAGGCAAGAGATTGAGAAAGAGATTTAGTGGCAGCTTCGAGGTCCGTCCGTGCCATGCCGCAATTGCACTGAAAGCCCTTTCTGCTTCTGGCTGGGCCGCCCTGTTCCTAGGTTCAAAGCCATGCAGCCCCCTTTCCCAAGACTCGGCTTGTGTTGCTTTGCTCCGAGCTGAATGCATTCAAGTGTTGCAAATGCCTTAGATGAACAGAAAGCCCTCTCTCCTGCACAGAGGATGCATGGGGGACCGTGTAGAGGCCTTCATGGGGCTCTGGGTGGAGGAACTGGGGGGGGGGGGGGGGGGGGGGGGGGGGGGGCGGAGAAAAAAAACCCAAGACTTATTGTCCAGACGAAAGGAAAGGGAGATGTGTCTGGTGCCATATCCCTGCAGGCACTGCTGGAGGGAAGTGGAAGCCAGTGGAAAAGAAGCCCAGGCAGCTCCAGGGTATTTCTTAGGGTGATAAACTGCCATGGAATGGACATCTGAGTCTGGAAGTAGCCAGCTTGTATTACTAAGTTCTGAAATATTGCATCATGTCAAACAAGAGCTTGACTAGTTCTTTTTTCCTCCTGCTTTCTTGAGAGGGAAACCCAAATCTGCAAAAATCTCAATTAATTCCCCCTAAGATCAACAGGGCCCCCTCCTCTTTAAATTTGCCCTTGTGTTTTTAAGTTTCATAGCTAGGAAGCTTTAAACAATGCAAATACTTGTTTTGCATGAGAAGATGCTAAGATTCTCACAAAGTCAACACTTGCCAAAGTCAGGGGTTAATAAAAACGTCACAAGGCTTAGAATAAAATCATGGATATTCACAGTATTAATATATGTAGCTTTGTCTTTTGAATTAGTTTCAGTCTTCCCAGGCCAAAGGTTTTTGGGTTTGGTTTGGTTTGGTTGTTTGTTTTTTTTTTGCCTCTTCAGAATATAACCCAAAATATCAAAAAGCCAACTTAGAGTCTGGTTTAAAGGATAATATGTAGAGGCAAGGGTATGGCAAGAACGCTGTGACTGGACATATCAATCATTTCTATGACAACAGAGGAGGATATAACAATACTGTAGAACTGAGCAGAGGAGATGGAGCAAAAAGAGATCATTATTTTATACTACCGATATTTTCATTTACTTGTAAAGATAGAAACCGAGAATGCAGAAAAACATGTGGGAAATATCCCAAATTATTATTTATAATTCCACATTTACAGTTTACAGAAGCAAAAAACATATTGTATACAATGAGTATGTCCCTGTTTGTAAATCCATATGACTGTAAACAAAGGATGTGTTTTGTGAGAGTTTATATAATGCACTGTGTGTGTGTGATTGCATGTACAGACACAGTGATTGAGCCTTAAATATCCACAAAGCTTTTCCCTTTCTATACTTTTCAGATGAAAATCATAATATTTAACACAAAGAGTGATCATTTTCATATTTTTCTGATAAATATATTTATTTCTTCTCTTTCTAGTAACCATGGGTGGGATTTAGCTTGCCTGAATTATAGTGGCTGGATGTGATATACAGCTGAAACTCCAGTGGCAGCCAAGGAAGACTGAGCCCATACAGTTGGTGGAGCCTAGCAAGCTACTCTCCCTCTGAAGTAGACACCAACATCTGGTCAGCCAAATTGCTCTCCAGACTCCACTAACCATATGGTCTAGATCCTTACTGACTGTACCAAGAGCTTAGGCACCTAGCTCCCCTGCAGACACCTAGGCTTTAGACACCTGAGGCACAGTCCAGCTGCCTGCCCATCAGTGTCTGGCACAATTTCAGATTCCTGTGGATTGTTGTGACATCCTCGTGGGGCTGGTGTAGGACCTGTGGGAGACTACTGGAGCATCAGCTCAAGGCTAAATGGGATAGCCAACACCAAATGGCATTGGAGCTGAGGCGACTGAATCAAGCCCTTCAGACGGGAGCAGCAGGCAAGGAGCTAGGTGTGAAGTCAATGTGGAGAGTCAAGAGAGTAATTAAGGATCATCAGGGCATAGCAAAATTACAACATAAGTGGAAAAAGGGCTGGGCACCAGGGCCCAAGTTCACACCAGACCCTGCTACACAGAGTACAGGATAGATGTCTGAGGGTCCTGTGGGAGGCTGGTCAGGGCAATTACTCTACACCCTAAAATCAGGGTGAGATGAATCCACACCCTTGATGTTTACAGTGCAGATATCTGCATTTGAGCCTGTCACCCACACATCCTTTCCAGTAGCTGGAAAGAAACAGGTGCTGCCAGGAAGTTATATAATCTGTTCTGAAGATATGCTGTAGAAAGAGAGAAATTACTCCCTGGAAATACCTATATCTCTCCTCTGACCACAAAGGGAATCTTAGTGTAGATGGGTTTGCTTTAAAATGGGTCAGAGAAACCCTGCTTGATGTA